TGTATATGGATCTCTCTCAGGTAACCAGCACATGCTCTTGTAACAGCATGAATACCTRTATTCATCCATAGGGTCACAACATCTAGCACATGTCCTTCAAAGTAGCAGTTAAAAAAAAAAAAAGGTTAGTCATAGTAGCACTGCTACCAGACACAAAACAATGATCAAGAATATGCTGGAACACATTTATTATTGAAAATAATCATGTTAAAGTTTTATGCACTGGAGAACAGAGAATTGGCCATTTCTTTTGTTGTCTGTCTCCCAGTTTTCTGCCCCATCTCCTAGCTGATGACCAGATGAACGCTGCTCCTTTAGCACTGTAGCATGCAGGGTAGGAAAACCAAGAAACTGCCAGACAAATACTATTGCTCTTGGCTTCTTTAATTGGAAAGAAGAAAAATGCCTAAAATAGGAAGATGAGACCATGCATCACAGGAGATTGTGGGTTTTCTCTGAAAAAGCAGCTTCACTTCTGGAGGAAGGAGACTGGTCCCCCAATTTTTTTTTTCTTTCTGAAATTGCACAAATGCTCCCTTCTGCAATCTCTCCCATTTGACAGCCACCTTTGAGGTGTTAGGACTCCCATGCACACCACTATCTAATTATAAATGTTTCTCCTCATGAAAGAGTGAGCTSCTCCCTAAATGATAACTCATTTTACCCACTTCTTCTCCCTGCCCAGCAGTGAGCTCTCTGTTCATCAGTCTTGACTTTACCTGGCAACCATACACTTAACCTTGGTTTTCCAAGTTTCAGTGTTGTTACCTTTCCTGTTACACTCTATTCATTTTACTTATTCATTTTCCTGTATTTCAAATAGCTTCCATCATTTTCTTAAACTTCGAATTTAAAGCCTATTTTAAAAAGTGTATTCTTAAAAAAATAATTCCTTTTGTGTTCTAACATCACTATGCTTGATTCGCCTCTCTCCCTTTTGAAATGAACTTTTTAGTGATCAATAAGAAGCAAGATTGGAGTACTAGGAGCCCTGGAGAGCCTATATATAGGGGAAGGCAGGTCCTTTCTGACCCTCAGCTGCCCCTGTCCTAGCTCCACAGAAAGACCAGCCCACCCATGGTTCTTTAAAGAACTTTTCTCCTGCAGGCAGGAGGAATTTTTCTTGTGCACTTAAATCCTCACCAAATAGGAAACTTAGGGTTTTTTTTTTTTGTTTTTTTTGTTTTTTTTTTTTAGTATTTCATGAATATTGATACTGAATCAAAAAATTGGCCATTTGGAACAAAAAAAATGTTATAAGATAGATAACATCTCTCTGCCTTCTAATGGTGGGGGGGAGAGAATAGAAAATTTTAGAAGGGTGATTACAATTTAGGAGGCATTTGCGCTGGTGTGTGTGTACCAGAAACACGGTAGTCAGGGAAGGTCTCTCTGAGGGGTGTTAACAGTCCAGCTGAGTTTGCAGGATAAGACACAGCCTTAGATTATACAGTGAAGACCTTCGGCCTATTTGATGAGCAGAAATGTCACCTTCCCTCTAGTCACTTGTTAAATGCAGGGAAGCATGCTCCTTTCCTCTAGAGCACTCCAGTTGGTTTGTAATCTATGCATTAGTATTATTCATTGGTTAATGTCTGTTACTTCCAATACATCTTAGCAGATATTTATAGATTGCCTACTATGTGTTTGTCACTGGGGATATAACAGTAAAATAAAGTCCCTGCTTTGTGCACTTATATATGTGTAAACAATTAATGAAAGAAGGACCATGACAATAGGCATGGYCTATTATTGCCTACCAGTATGACCTCAGGACCAGCACAGGACTTGGAACCAACCTAGAAGTCAAACATTGTTCAATGAATGCTGCTAAGTAAAGAAATGCAAYATACAAGCTGTATATGTAATAGGATCCTACATAGAACATGGGTATAGAAACACACAAAGTGTATTAAAAAACAGGAGATACAAAAAATGGTTAATTTTGTGTAAACTTTATACAATAATCATATAACTCTCTGCCCCACCCCTCTCTCTATATATACAGGGATTGAATCTAGGGATGCTTAACCATGGAGCCACACCCCCAGCCTTTTTTGAATTCTTTGAGACAGGACCTTCCTAAATTGCTTAGGCTTCCCTCACTAAACTACTGAGGATGGCCTTGAATTAGTGATCCTCTTGCCTCAATCTTGCCAGCGGCGGGGATTATATGAGTGTGTCACTGCATCTGGCAAGCATATATTTTGAAAAAAGTATTCTATTCAATGAAAGGCACAACAAACAGCGGAATGGGCCTTCATCTTTAGTTACTGAGCTGTTGGTGAGGATACTAATTTCCCACTAGGTTTGGCTAGTGATGTTTRTAGACTGCTCCTCTGAACTATGACCCTATAAGGGAAACAATCACCCCATCCCCCCAAAAAAYTAGGTTATAATATCTAATACTATCCGTATTGGTTGGGAACAGGAAAATAACTCCATAGACAAAAACCAAAACATCTGGGGCTGGGGTTGTGTGAGGCACTGTTATGGGGAGACACCTCAGAAAGCACTCTAAGTCCAAATTTTAAATCAAAAGAGAGCTTTATTTACCTGGCCAGGGACTGTCACTCACCACAGAGACTCAAGCTCTGTGGGAGGACAGCAGCTTCCTGGTCCATCCAAAGATATGTAGAAGCACAAAAACCACAACTCAGTGACTTGCTTATCGTCATGTAAGCTAGCCAGTCATAGAAATTAAAATATTGATAAGTGGGACCTGTGGGCCCTAGGCAGGACCAGCCAGCAAGCATGTGATGAACAGAAGCTAAAATAGCATTATCTTTGCAGTTCAGTTGACCACAGTCCTGGGTTCAAGCAGGTGCTAAACAGTCACATAATTGAATTTGGGCGGGGGTCAGCAGGGTGAGAATCGACTTCAAAGTCATGTAGACCCACAAGGGCTTTCAAACCCAGTATGTAGCTCACCATGACCACCGCTGCATCCTGAGTAGGGTACAATTTGTAGGGTACAAAGTACAGAAAGACAATTTTTTTAAAATAAGAAAACAGCTTTCATTTCAGTTTCTCAGAAACAGCTCTTGTAACAGTTTTTAYAGAAGGCAGCAAAATGGAGTCTTAGGGCTGCCTATGCCAGTTCTTGCTTTATAATTGTCTTATCTCACTTATCAAAATCTTATACCTATAATCTGTATTTTTTTTACTAATCTATAACCTATTACTTACACTCTTATTGATTGTATTTATCAGTTCACACCACAACAAACTAGTGTTAAAACATCATGTAATGCTTCCTCTTCTCAGAAAACTCTTTAAAGTAAGAGAAAAAAAACCATTTAAGGGTGTACAAAATGAAGTGGACTGACTTTGACTCATAATGAGACTGAGACCAACAGTGAGACATACAACAGACAAGGCACCATAAACAAACCTAACTGACCAGAGATTTAGATAGGGTTTTTTAAAAAAAAATATTTATTTTTTAGGTGTAGATGGACACAACACAATGCCTTTATTTTTATGTGGTGCTGAGGATCAAACCCTGGTCCTGCCCTGCTAGGCAAGAGCACCCTATTTCGGAGCCACAATCCCAGCCCCTAGATAGGGTTTTTAACTCCAGATGGGCCAGTGAGGGACATCTGGATGGACACTGCCCTGGACCGGGAAGTATGTGCTGCGACCAGCCTTCCCTGATGTCCCCGGACTGTGGATCCCCACAAACCAAGTTTTAAGTTTCAAGCTTACCTTTCCCTGGAGAACTAAGTGCTCTCAAATAGGCAGTCTGCAGGTTTGGCAGGAGCCGATGAGGAGAGGACCMKGGGCTGAGGACTTCTCCTCAGAGGCCTTCCCCAGGTTGTCTCCAGCCCACTGGGTCTCCTGGGTGTTTCTGAGCCTTGTCCCATTTATGGGCCAAGAAATAAATATCTCTTCTTTTCCCGGCCAGAGCACCAAATGTTATGGGGAGACACTTCAAAAAGCACTGTAAGTCCGAATTTTAAATCAAAGGAAGAGAGCTTTATTTACCTGGCCAGGGACTGTCCTCCCACAGAGCCTGAGTCTCTGCAGTAGGTGACAGTCCCTGGCCAGGTAAATATAGCTCTCTTTTTAAATTTAATTTAAATTTAAATTCCGACTTGAGTGCTTTCTGAGGTGTCTCCCCTTAACAGCACTGGGTTCGATCCTCAGCACCACATTAAATAAATAAGTAAGTAAATAAACAAGAGTATTTGTCCATCTACAACTAAAAAAGAAAAAGAAATTGAAATTAAAAAAAAAAAACCCATCCACTTGTACACCAAGACCAATTCTGTGTAGGGCAACAAAAAAGCTTCACATGGTGCGCCCTTCCCAGCCCTCTCTAAACTCAGACACTGAGAAATTGCTCTCACCCGGCAAAAGCAGGGCAACCTACCCTCCCCAGAGCCAAACAGTGAGCTTACCTTGGCACTGCAGAGCAGGCCACTTTTGCATAGCACACTGAACAATGCTCCGCTAGGTCTCCTGCCAGGTGTCCCACAGCTCAGCTCCTTTTGGCACCGCAGACGCCCTGCAACTCTTACTGCGGTTACAGCGAGACCCAAAAGAGCAGCCCCTTTCTCCAAGGCACTAACCTGTGCAGGGAACACCGGGCAAACTCTAACCACCCCCGCACAGCACGGACCCTAGCCACACCTCCTTGCACCTGAGCATTCTAGACACCTCACCTGGAGCTCCCATGTGCGCTCCCCATCCAGAATTGGCTCAACCCCGGAAACGCGGCGAGTGTTTGCTAGGGCCACAGCTAGACCCTGGGCGAACCTCCGCCGCTCAGGCACCGCTCCAGCCGCCCGAGCAGGGCTTCACTTCTTGCGCAGCAGGGTCGCCACAGTGCCCAGCCCGAGTGCGCTTCCTGGAAGCGCCTAACGCACCACCCCTAGGAAAACCCTGGCCGCATCCTCTACCCCAACCTGGGTCAACCGCAGGTCCACCCAGACCCGCGGCCCCCAAACCAAGCTCCAGCCTCTTTGTCGAGGTGCACAACCTCTTCAGGCTCTTACCAGAGAGTGTAAACAGCAGGAATGCCAAAGTCGCTAGAAAGATCCCTAGTAGGCACCGCTGTAAAGTAAAGGAACTCTTTCCGCGGCGGGGAAGCGCCGTGCAGGGCGCGGAAGACACCATCACCTTTCAGAAGATGAACAGGAAAACAGTGCCAGCCAAGCAGGGGAGTCCCTTTTGAGCCCGGTTGTCATACGCAACAATCCCCAAATTCACAAAGTGTGCAGGGCCGCCAGACAAGTGGGCGTGGCTGGGCCAGCGCCCCTGTCGGAAGTGACTGGAGGCGGAGCCACTGCGCCTATCCGGCGACATCAGGGCGGGGTCTCGGCGCGCTTTGCTCCAGGGCCTCCAGGGGACCCGGGGTGCTCCCGGCTGGACCGATACCCGGGTTATCAGCTGCACTCAGCTCCACCAGAGCCTCACCGCGCYCTGGCTGCGTCCTCTGCAGCCCACTCTCCAGGCGCTGGCTGGCAGGAAAGGGTTGGCTCACCGCCGCTTTCGTAAACTGTTTACCACCTCATGGTGGAAGGGTGGAAAGGGAACTAACTGCTGGCTTTGTCRTCATTTCCGGCCACTCAGGCCTGAAGAACAAAACACAGCGACCTACAAATAGAAATCCAGAGCTCKGGCGGCGCGTCACTGTGGGGCCAGCACCCCTTGGGACTTATCCTGCTGCTCCTTAGGCTGCTGCACTGCCTGGGCCCTTACTCTGTGTCTGGCACTAATCAGGCATTATTAGGAACAATACTTCCAGTCYTCCTTGCTTAAATGCCTGCTGCTAAATTCCCTCAGGGCCTTCTCTTCATTCTCCAAAATCTCACAGGTTTGACCCCCGGCACCCTCAATCCCTAAGGTAATTCGTTCTTCCTCCTCTTTCCTTGAGAAAACCCAGGGGAAAGTAAAATATTAAGCATCTCTTTGTTATGAGCATATCGGGACTCTAAGGGACCCTTGTCCTAGAACAACTAAATTATTTTTTTGTTGTTATTGGTACCAGGGATTGAACCCAGGGGCGGTTAACCACTGAGCCACATCCCTAGACTCCCCACCCGACCTTTCTTGATTTGTTTTGTTTTGTTTTAACTTAGAGACAGGGTCTCACTGAATTGCTTAGGGCCTTGCTAAATTCCTGAGGCTGGTTTTAAACTTGTCATCCTCCTGTCTCAGCCTTCGGAGCTGCTGGGATTACAGGAGTGTGCCCCCACGCCTGCTAACATAACTAAATGTTTTATGGGAGACAAAATATACATGCATGAAAAAGGAAAGAACAGGATAAGTGTAAAATTCCTGGAAGGAATGAGTGTGATAGGATTTGGGATGGGTAGGAATTACTTAGGAGAAGAAGATAAAGGGCAAAAAATTTTGTTGAAATAATCTCTAGCACAATGCTGGAAAATTAAGAATGAGCAAGATTGATCTGAAGGGYCCTGAGAAAACTTGGATGAAAGGTAAAAGAAAAACTAACAGAAGTGGCATTAAAAGAACAAACGAAATTTTCTTCCTCTCAAACTGACAAAGTTTGAATGAACCCATAGGGAGATCAACACTTAACACTTCAGTTTGTTAAGTCTTAAAGGTGACATGACTTTCTTACTCAGAATTTATCCCAAAGAAATCATCAGAGCTGTGAACAACAGTTTATAATTAGGGAAAAGTATAAACTCATACGTATCCAGCAAAARTATTAAAGAATTTTTAATAGGTGCCTTTATGTGATGAAATTCTAGGTGGCAAACATTGTGAAAGAATATCAATGTGAGAAATTGATGTATTGGTTAATACAAAAGCAGAATATGCCTTTCATAAAAAACAAAAATGACATAATGATACACATAAGAAGAGACAAGGTAGAAATACAGGTGAAAGGATCATAGGTATTTCCTTTTCTTTGTTCAACTTTCTAATTTTTCTATATTGAGCCTATATTACACTTGGAATAAGGTAAAAATAAATTAGCCTTTTAAAAAATTTATTTGAGACAGGGTCCCTCCGTTTGTTACTAAGGCTGACTAAAGAAAAAAAAATCCAACCTGTATCCTATGTGTCAAGATGTGTCAAGGACAGTTTTATGCATAGAATGGTGGGGGTAAAACCTGTATGGCACAGGTTTGAGGTGACAACCGGTGAAGAAAAAAAAAGCTCACRGTACAAACCTCAAATGGTCCTCTGGAATAACAAGAGCTGAGGTATATTTAATACAGTTCTATATCTGAGATGTCCTGAGAACCCTCTGGATTCACCAAGCCATGGAATTTTCTTTTCTTGCCAGAAWAACAAAACTTTTAAAATCACACAAGACACTAAGTCTGGAGGTATTATATAAAATAAATGCCTGAATATTTTGGAATATAAAATCCAGACATTTCTTGGTGGCAATTAAAGGAGGTATAATTAAGGAGACAGTGAATAGGAAACTCAATGAGGCAGGACTTGTTACTTCTGTTAATATTTACAGTTGTGAGCTATATGACAGTAATGTTCTGTGGCTCAATGTCAGAACTTGTTTGTGAAAACAGAAAATTTATTATTGTCTGCAACAATAAATATTAAAAATTACCTATTTATTTCCAGGCTTGGAAGTAAGATTTCTTTTTTTTTATGAACAAATTAAAAATATAGGAGAAACAATTTAGCTAGTGTTTGTTATTCTAGTTTCAGGTGCAATATTCAAGGATTATAGTTTTATTGAAACTTTGTTTCAGTCAGTAAAAGTTCTATCCCTGGGKTTCTTCAGGCCTTTCTTAATATACTTGAAGACTTCCACACCAATTTTTTAAAAAGCTTATTTTGATTTGACCCAACTGAGCTTCCATTTGAAAAGTCTGGGGCCTTGTTTCCTATCTTTCTGGACAATTTCCAAGAGTCAGGGATAAAGTTTTCTTGTAACATCTCCAGTGCCAAGATTCATAGTAGGTGTTCAATGAATACTTGGTAAATACTGTAGGAAATAAAGGCGTCTTGCTGTCAAATGCATTTAATACATCTTTGCCAGTTTYCCACTAGAATTAGTTGACCAAATGCTGGGGAAGTTCTGAGAGATTTTGATTTTTAATATTTTAGACACTAGAAAATAAAGTGGGATTTGTCTCTAAATGGAGTGAGGTAATAAACTGCACACAAAATAAACTTTCCTAAATCAGGCATTGCAAGTTTACCTGTAAAGTAGAGTTACTATCCATGCCTTAGCCTTGCCTTGGGGTTGTTTCAGTAACTGAGTTCAAAAGGAGAGTGAACTTCCTGAGGCTCTGACAGGGATAGATGTCAAGAGTCAAAGCTTCCAATTAGGAAGTAGGAGATTAAACATGAGTGGTTCCTCCAGCTCCCCCTAAAGATTTTGTCAAACTGTCAAAGACACGAGGAAAGGAGAGAATGGAAGATGTAGGGGTCGGCAGAGGAATAGATAAGGTTAAGGACTATGTACAGATATCCTTTCAGAAGGGTGAGCAGACAGAGTGATGACAGAGGGATGTCATTAAATGTTTGCCAACCTCTTTTTTAAAATATAAGATATGAGATGATTCTTTGCCTCTTAAATTAGTWTATCTACACTATGCTTTTTGGAAGTTGGGGTAAGGTTCATCAGGCTCTATTTGCACCCGGCAGGCACCTGCCAGTCCGCTGACCTTCATATGCAATTGTGTCTGATTTTCTTCTCTCTTACCTGAAAGAGTGTGAGTGTGGTAGGCCATTCCCTCATGGGAATTCTGTAAGCAATCAAGTACAGAAAGAACAGCATTTCTCAGAAGGAACACACATTCACTTCAGTCTACTTTAACTTTTGCAGGCCTTAGAAAAGACAAGTATACTACAAATTATACTCCATAAGTAGATTTGCAAAGACAAATCTTTTATTCTTTTCTCATTTTAATGGTGAAAATTTTATTCAAATGTCATAGATTTAAATTACATTACATCTCATATTTATTCTATTTTTTTAAGTAAACAAAACAAAGAATGTCAGACATTAATAGCTTTGTAGATTAATTGGCCCAGCTGCTGTTTTAGATGAAAAATGTAAGTCCAGAGGTTAACAGAATTACTTAACAATACAAGTTAGGCAATGAGGCATTTTTCATAGTATATGTAGTATTCCCTATGATAATTGATGTAATAGAAAAAAAACTCATGGCTTTCTTGCAATTAAAAAGTCAGAGTCATCAAAAATTTATTAATCCCATGGCTCACTGGTCCACTCCACAGAATTGCTTTCTTGGGATGGAAAATAGTAATTCTAAGAAAGGCTAATTCTCATTTAGTTTCTAGTCTTCCTTTGAAATCTACTTCTTCAAATTCTAAGAAATAATAGAGAACTGAAGAGCCAACTGAGCAAACACCCACCATTGAGTATCATTTCGAAAATTTGCAGACTAGTTACACTTGTTTCCTTGGTGACCTGGCCATATATTATTTGCCCATCTTTTAGTGGGGAGAGTTGGTTGCCATTTTTAATTTTTAAGAACTTCCTAAATAATAAGGCAATTACCCTTTGTGTATGGTATAAGTTGTATGTAGTCAATATAGATAGTTATACTATATATATATATACACACACATATATATATATATACACACACAAACATATATACACACACACACACATATATATATATATATATATATATATATATATATATATATATATAGTCAGTGGACTTTGCTTATGCTGGGTTTTTTTCAAACTTGCAATATTTTAAGTTGAAATTCAAGTTGGTGTCTCCCTTAATCCCTATATTGGTGTCAAAGTAAATGTGGTAAAATAGAAATTTAAAGCAGCAATTAAAACACAAAATTAATTACCCAGAAATTAGTGATAGCTAGATTCAAAGATATTACTCAATATTCACAAATATTCTGATAGTTTCTAGAGATCATTATTATGGCAAATAATATCATAACAAGTTTCTGATCTATAAAGATGTAGAATGGCTGAAAGTATAGGGATACTGATTTTAAGATGTTCATGATTATTTTTTTTAAACATTTATTTTTTAGTTGTAGTTGGACACATTACCTTTATTTTATTCATTTATTTTTATGTGGTGCTGAGGATGGAACCTAGGGCCTTGCAAGTGCTAGGCAAGTGCTCTACGGCTGAGCCACAACCCCAGCCCTCAATGCATGATTATCGATTTGATAAAGTTCTTTTCAAAGCAACTGACACACAAAAACTGCACATTTATGAGGTACCATGTGATATTTGGATACRTGTACATCCTGTATAATATTCAAATCAAAGTAAACATACATGTCTTCTTAAACATTTATCATTTCTTTGTAGTGAAAACATTCAAAATCTTTTCTTCTAGCTTTTTTTTTAATATTTATTTTTTAGTTGGACACAATACCTTTATTTATTTATTTCTATGTGGTGCTGAGAATCGAATCCAGGGCCTTGCACGTGCTAGGCAAGTGCTCTACCACTGAGCCACAAGGCAGCCCTCTTCTAGCTTTTTAGATCTGCAGTCACCCTGATGTGAAATAGAAAACCAGAGTTTACTCTTCCCAAGTGTAACTTAGTACCCGCTGACTCATAAATTCTTAAA